TTAGGCAAAGTGGTGGGCAGCCCTTCCAGCTCCTCAGGCACTCTCCTTAGCGTCAGTCTGGCTCTTGATGGCCATTACAGCCATGGCCTGAGGTCTGGCGATGCACGGGTCTCGGAGGAACATTAGCTGGTGGTGAGCTAGAGAGGTTAATGGCATACTCGCAATCAACCGAGGCTTTTATCCTAATTCATTAAAACTATGAAACACACACTCACACCCCAAAAAGAAAGAGCTTTGGAGAAAAGCAAGCAGCTGCAGAACCAAGTGTGAATGTCCCGGACCCCGGAGAGGAGCCCAGAACTCAGCGCCCTCCCTGCAGAGCACCGCACACCTGTGTCCACATCCAGGTTGCGGGATGCAGCCCCGAAGCACACACCACCCCATCCTCAGACACTCCATCTGCGCAGTCATCCTTGGGGTCAACTTTTCTTTTCAGTCCTTCAGGGGCTCTGAGTCACTGCCTCCAAGTGTGTCTTTGCCCACCCACCCCCGTCAGCCCAGCCCACTGCCTTCTCCTTGAAGCAGGTGCACGTCAGGGCTTTTGACCCGACCAGTTTCTTCGTTACCTGAATTCTCTCACTTGCCGACCCCGGCTTCACTTTTGTTACCTCCCCTGTGCCTCCCTGGGTTTAAGTTGCCACCATCTGTTCAGGGGTACTTGTACCTCCGTCCCTCTCCTGCTCCGAGCCTGCTCTTGGTTTGAGTCCTGCTGTCCCTGTGGCTGGTGCAGGAGAGGCAAGGGCAAGGCCGAGCTCCTCACCGATGAACCTGCTTCCCCAGGTTTTCTCACATGACTGAATCCTTTCCCCCTTGCCTGCCTCCCGCTCCCGTTCTTAGGGTGGTATACAGAAGCCCACACTACACACTGAAATTTGCTTTATAAACATGCCACCAGCAATAGATCATTGCCACCAACACAAGGAGGTTTTCTTTTTCTTTCTTTTCTTATTTTTTTTTACTTCTCAGGACAAATTTAGTTACGGCCCTGTCTGAGACAGAAGGGAGGTAGGGTAGAGCGTTTGCAAAGCACCCAAAGCTATTGGTACTGTTACTGTGAAGGTCTTTCCCTTAGAGCAAGCGCGATGCTCTGCTCTGTACCTAGAATGAAAAGGTCCCAACCCTGAGCTATTTGAAGAAAAGGGTCACTAGATGAAAGTTTCAGTTCAAACAAGGCTCAGGCCACTTTCTGTCATTGGAGAGAAGGGAGAATTCCACAGGACTCAAGCCGGGGACAGACTCAGAGCAGGAGAGGGACGGAGATACAAGTACCCTTAAACGGATGGAGGCAACCAATTGATGTTTTTCTCTCACGTCAATGTTTCTCTCTCTCCCTCCCTCTCTCGCTAAAATCAATAAAAAGCATATCCTTGGGTAAGGGGAGGGGGGAAAGAAATCAAGGTTTCCAATTATATACAAAGGTTCACCTTTTAGGCAAAAAGTGGACAAAGGACAGCAGCAGAAAATTAGGCCAGTGTTTCTCAAAGCGAAGTCACTGGACCACCAGCACCGAACTGTCCACTGGCTGGTCAAAATCTCTAGAGGCGGGTCCTTAATGAGACCTCCTAACAAGTTCAACTAAGTATGAGAATCGCAATCACTGATTCAGAACACACTGTGGAACCAGTAGTGAGACATTGCAAAGTATTCTCCGAGAGATTTTAACAGAATCTGTTTGGTGGCAGGACCATGCACAGATGACCCGCCTCAAGGCCCAGTGCCCACCCCAGGCCATGTCGTAGGCATTTTCTTGGTCTCTGGAGTGTACTGGGGACAAGGTTCAGAGGGAGCATGGGATTCCCCTGCATAGTTAGTCTTTTTGTTGTTTTCCAAAAGCCCCCAGAGGGTTTGGAGACTGGAAAACAGGAAGATGATGGCCTCTGCTGAAGCTTCCAAATAGATAATGAAATTATTCTGTTTACAGGGTTTATAGAGATCTGAAAACAACACTAATCTTTCTCATGGAGGGACTATGGGAGGCTCTCCAATAAAGACAGAGTTAAAAAATAATTTCTTGGCAATAGTTCCAGATTATAAATAGATAAATCATTGATTAAAAATAGAATGAATGTTAAATCTCTTCAAGATGCTATGACGATATCTAAAAGCAAAATTCTTTTATATAGGAATTAAAACAAAAAACAAAACAAAACCCCCAAACACATGGACGTTGAGAATTATTTAAGAGGTTCTAGAAACTGCAAATTAAAAATAGCTATCACCAGACCCCAGAAGGAGAAAATAAAATCCACAGTTATCTAACAAGTATCAGTATGCTAGTCCCTTAAGTTCTGTCTCAGGGACACAGACAACAAGACAGTTTAGCCATCAACTCCGAGTTTATGGTCATGAGCTGCACAGAACCAGAAGCCAGGCACACAGAGGTGCCTTTTTTTTGGTTTTGTTAATCTTCACTTGAGGATATTTTTTCCCATTGATTTTTAGAAAAAGTGGAAGGGGGGAGGAAGGGGGGAAAGAGAAGAGAGAAAGAGGGAGAGAAGAGAAACATCGATGTGAGAGAGACACTTCAATAGTTGCCTCCCACACGGGTTCTGACAGGGGGCAGGGAAAGAACCTGCAACTCAGGTACCTGCCCTTGACCGGGCATTGAACCCATGACCCTCCGGTGCACAGGCCCAGCTTTGCCCCTGAGCAGTTTGTGTGGCCTTGGGAAAGTGACTTAACTCTAAGCCACAGTTTTCTCCTCTGCAAAATGGGAATAATGATCATAGTGGTGTATCCTCACCCTCTCTTACAGGTAATTGTGAGGATTAGTGGAGCAAATGCACTTGAGTTCAATCACACTGTCTGGCACAGAGCCAGCCTTGCTGCACGTTAACAATGATTGTTACTATATTTCTGCTACTTTTATTCTAAACCAAGAATTTTCTGAAACGCCAAGATATTCAGGACATTCATAAAGAGCTCTTTTTTTGGGGGGGGGGGGTTTGTTGCTCAGGAGTGTCAAACTTGTGGATTTCAATTCTGCATACACTTTAAGTCTATTGTCTGGCACTAAACCTTCCCCTCCTCTTCCCAGGTCCCCCAGCAGGGCTTGTCACAGTATTACATGGTAGAGAAACAAAAGTAAGAGAGTGTGTATGTGTAGGCCGTGTTCTCTGATAATAACAATTACAATTAGATTAATAATAAATGCTCCGGGTGTGTCTCCTCGGCCTGGCACTCTTCTGCCTGAAGTGAACACTTTAAATCATTTTCCCATTTGACCCCTGACAACACCGTAGGAGCAAGGTGTGCGAGGTGCTTGCTGAGAACCTAGGGATGTTTTATGGGCCCCCGGCGACTCACTCAGTCACGTTCAGAACACTCTGAGCAGGATCTGCCTACCTCCAGGGCCCTGAATGGGAGATACCCACCCACCCCCTTCCTCTAACACAATCCCGACGATGGCCTCCGCGCTCCTGCTGTCAGTCAGGCCCCACAGCAGATTCTTCAGGAGAGGGGCTTGCTTCCTTCCAGGTGCTTCTGACATGGGCTGACCACAACCCACAGTGAGAAATATATATTATACTACAACTCAGACATATATCTCAAAGATTTTGATGAAAAAATGCATGCGTTCATGTGAGGCCTTCTGATGCTTCCTTACTCTATTTAGCTCTTTCATGAAAAGCGAGAATGTGGAGAAATTGGAACCTTTATACGTCACTGATGGGAATGTAAAATGGCCTAGCTTCTGGAAAACAGTTTGGTGTTTCCTCAAAACCTTAAACACAGTTTCTAAATGACCCAAATAGTCCACTGCTAAGCACATATCCAAGAGAAATGGAAACATACATCCATACCAAAAAGTAGCCAAAAGGCAGATATAAACCAAATGTCCACCAAGCGAGGAATGAATACACAAATGGGGTACATATCCATACAATGGAATGTTATTCAGCCAAGAAACATACAATGGGACGTTATTCAGCCAAGAAAGGAATGGAGTATCATCCATCCTACCAAGTGGGGGAACCTGGAGACCATTATGCCAAGTGAAAGAAGCTAAACACCATGCACGACCTGAGTCCACATAGGTCAATGCTCACAGTGGGCAGATCTAAGGGATAGAAAGTCAGTCAGTGTTGCTACTGGGAGGGGGGTGGGGAATGAGGAATGGGTCTGGGGTCTCTTTTAGGGGTGATGAAAATGGTCTAAAACCAGACAGTGCTGATGGTTGCAACGCTCTGAATACATATAAAAATGAATTGTATAAAGGGGTGAATTTATTCGTATGTTAATTACATCTCAAGAAAGCTGTTTAAAATGACGGTTGTGATCCAATAAACTGATTTCATCATTCCAAATGGGTCAAAACGCAGTTGAAAATGATTGTCCTAGAACATGCTTCCCACTCCCGACCCCTGCCTGGCTTGTCCTCTGCATGGAAATCACTGCAGAGCCTGGCAGATGGACAGACGGACAGAGGGGCGAGCATGGGGAAGGAGGGATGAAAGCCCCCTGTGGCACAATATCCATGGCCCTTCTTCAGTTAAGGGACCTCGGAGCCAAGCCTGCACCTGCTAGGCCGCGTTTCTGTCTCTCACAGCTGGGGGGTCATGAGAACAGAGGTGTGGGGAGATTTCCCGGGACAGCTGGCTCAGTGGGGTGGGTGTCCCCGTCGTTCCCCTCCTGCTTGCCTCAAATTCCAACAGGAAGGCTCAATCTCCAAGAGCCACCTTGTGACCTTGGGGTGGAAGGCAGGCCTAAGGCTGGCAAAGCGACCAGGAGACGGGGTCCTGCTGCCATCTTGAAGCCACCGGGGCTTCCTTTATGTGGCCGAGCAAATCCCTAATTTGCTTACAGCACTGAGCTGAGTCTCTGGTACTAGCAGTCAAAGGGACTTCTAAGTGATACCCCATGTAAGTGAATCAAAGCTCCCTCCCTGATGGAGCCGCCGGACCCCTCTGGGAACAGCAGCTGCTCTCCCGCCCAGGCCTTTCTGCCTCCCTGCCCTCCGCGCCAACGTCTCCCCGAGTCCCGTGAGCGGAGGGCAATACCTGGTGATTTTAAATATCCTCAGGAGCCGAACACATCTCAGCACAGAGATGCCCAAGGGGGACATGACCTTGGTCTCCACCAGGATGGTCTCCAGGATGCCCCCGCACACAATGAAGCAGTCGAAGCGGTTGAAGAGGGACACGAAGTAGGCCTGCAGGCCCAGGCTGTACATCTTCAGCAGCATCTCCGCAGTGAACAGGGCCAGGAGCGCCTTGTTGGCCGTGTCTGGCAGGTTCAGGAGTGGGATGGGATCCAAACAGGTGTGAGAGGAGGGAACACAGGGAGGAGGAGAAAGAAAACACAGCAATAATCAGCACTGAAAAAAACTAATTCTCCCTTCCCAGCCAGGACACCTCTCCCATCCACAGCCACCAAAACAGAACAATTAGGGCCAAATCAATGGGAAAGAGGTATCCATTTGTCAAGTCCAGCAATCGCCTTTATTCATAGGAGATATAGTCCAAGACTCCCATTGGATGCCTGAAACCGGAGATAGCACTGAACCCTATATTCACTGTTTTTCCTGTACATCCACACTTGCAACAGTACGAGGCTTCACCATACTACTCAGAACAGTGTGCAATTTTATTATTTATTTATTTTTGTTAATCTATACCTGAGGATATTTTTCCATTGATTTTTATAGAGAGTGGAAGGGAAGAAGGGAGGCAGTAGGCGGGGGGAGAAAGAGAGAGAAACATCATTGTGAGAGAGACACATTGATTGGTTGCCTCCCACACATGCTATGACTGGGGCTGGGGATCCAACCTGCAACCCAGATACCTGTCCTTGACCAGAAATCAAACCTGCGATCCTTCAGTGCATGGGGTGATGCTCTAACCACCCAGCCACAATTATTTTTGGAATTTTCCATTTAATATTTTCAGATCATGATTGACCACAGGTAACTGAAATCTTAGAAAGTGAAACTGAGAATAAGTGTGTGTGGGGGGCTATTATATCTACTACAAAAGCTTTGCAGCCTTATTTTCTTTCTCCTTACAGCAGCTCTGAGAGTAAGTATTATTGCCCATTTTCCAGATATAAGAAGTGAGGCTCAGAGAGATGAGTACTCCACCCAAACCAATAAGCCAAGAGGCGAAGCCAGGCCATCTGAGTCTGGAGTGTACCCCTGTGTCTGTCTGATGCCTGGGGCGGTGCTGAGTGGCCAGTGAGGGCCTCTCCGAGGGGTCGCTCCGGGGAAGGGCCTGGACACTAACTACCCGCCGAGGAGGCTCCCCGTGTTCAGGCCACAGCTGCCCTCCCCCCTGCTTTTTTGCTCACCTCATCCTCACGTCTGCAGCCCACCTGGACTTACCGTCACGTATACCTGGAGGCAACAGGAAAGCTAAAGGATTGAAAACCCATTCTGGGAAGTCGGCGGCCAAGGGTCTGAGAGAGCCAAACTAGGTGCAGCACATGTCCATGTCACCTGGGCCCAAGAGTGACTATTGGGGCAGGAAGATGGCATGGACCCAGCCAGGTGAGCCAGCTTGTTTACGATGAGGTGGGCATTTTACTGTGGGACTTTCGAGCTGCCAGGCTCTTGGTGTCCCCAGCATGGCACCTGCCAAGAGCCACAGCCATGGATGCTTTCCTGTCCACCTTCTGCATGTGAGGGCTCACTCCCTGGGATTCAAGCATGTCAAACTTGTGGCCCGTGGGCCGCATGCTGTTTATTTGGCCCGTGTTAGCCTTTGAGTTTGACATGCTTGTGCTAGAGTAAACTAGGACAGCGCCAGGGGCTGCCTCTCACCTTGGACTTCTGTGAGCCAGTGTGGCTGGTTGTAATGCTCCGAGGCAATGGTGAGCGTGTTGAGGAACACCAGGAAAATCACGAGCCAGTAGAAGACATTGGACTTGACTGCGGCACGACACTTCCTTCTGCAGAACCGATTCCACCGGCGCCAGTAGCGACTGGAAAGGGGTGAGGGTGAGGAGAGAAGGGTGGGAGGGAGGTGGCTATGAAATTCAGATTTCCCCACATGATTCTACTGTGTAAGCATGACCGAGAACCACTACGCTAGATGAACCCAAGAAAACAAGTCACATCTCGTAATTCTATGGTGGCGTGTTTAAAGCACACCCCTAATTTCATCCTTGCAATGCAGAGAAAATATGCAGCTGGATGTGTAACTCTGCTGACCAAACACTGAAACAAGTTCCTGTGCTGCAAAGGACAGAAGGCAGAGGATGCCTGGGAGGCCACGCAGAGGGCCGCACTAAGGACTTCGAGAGGGAGAATGATATGATGAGGTTTGATTTGAAAATGAAACAACCAACACAAACAACCACTCTGTCAACTTCTACTCGAGGAACAGTATGAAGAATGCTCTCTCGGCCATCCAGGTTGAAGAGGAGGAAGGCAGTAGCTTTATTCATGGAAAAGAGGACACTGAATTGATACCAATTTTGGAGGCAAAACCAATAGGCCTTTGAGCCTGCCTGGATGTGCAGGGTAAGAGAGAAAGGAATGGAGAAAGGTATGCAAGGGAGAGTGGAAATTTCTAGCTGAGGTGACTGGGAAGAGTGGTTCGTCTAACTGGTAAGTTACCCATATGGAGCTTGGGGAGCTCAGCTCAGGAAATCCATTTGAGGGGCTGGCAGGTCCCGCGGAGAAACCCAGTGGGCAGTTGAAGATGGGGAGAAATGAAGATGGTTTGGGTAATAAAGAAGGCAGGTGAGAAACAGAGCAGAATTGTGGAGTAATGTCCATGAACATCTGTACTCACATCTGTATTCTAGGTTTCCAGGGAGGGAGACGTCTGCTGTTGATGATCCCTTCACTCATCCCAGATTACTTCTACCTACTGTCCCTGGATAATCCCTTTACCAAACCCTGGTGCAACAAGATTAGAGAAGTGGGACGTACATCTGGGAAGGGTGTGGTTTCCTCTGAACCACAGGGAGAACCTGGTTTTTTGGCTTGCAGAACAGGGAGGGAAGAGCAGGGAGGGTTCACTGGGTCATGTTCTAATCTGGCCCCTATTATCACTGTGGGTGCTGGAATGCCCTCTCCAGTGAGCACCACACCTTTGTGGGGGACACTTACCTGCTACCTAGGGAAAAGTCACTACACAGAGAAGAAATGCCTCGGGTCAGAAAATTATAGTTTCCAGATGCACTTACTACCCTGGGTAAGCGTGAGGATACGAGAGGGTGAACAAAGGGGTACAGGAAGGGGACTGAGTCCCTGGTGGTTGGTCCTTAGTGAGCTGCGACTTTTGGAGGTGGCCAGACCTCGGTACAGAGGAGTCTTTCTCGCCCGGGCAGGACTCTGATTCTTCTATTATTATGGTTATTAATATTGTAGAGAAATTTGGTAACACAATTTTTTTTTCATGAGAAATGAATTATCAGGACAGTCATATCGGATCTTAAATAGCTTACACTGTAGTTTCAAAAAATGTTTTAGATACAATGTCATGTTACAGAAGTCACTGATGCTTGTATTCAGAGTCCAAAGGAATCAAGTTTGCTTTCTTTTATGTGTTAGGAGACTACTTGAAGTCAGTTTATGCCGAGAACTTAGATTAAGCTCCTCTTTCCCTGGGGTTTGCGGTTAGTGGCTGCAGGGGTGACATGGTCAGGCCTGTCCACGGGTCTGGAACTGCTCTGCTCGAACCCCTGAAGGAGAGGCTGTCACGGACAGGTGGTATCCCTAAGTTGTGCCGTTCCCCTGCACAGCCATTCACAAGAGTCACGTGGATTTGAACTGGGGTGGGGGTGGGGTAATTACTACCCCGAGAAAGTATTTAAAGATAATTATACACCTCCCACTCTTCAAAATATAGCTTTGCTTGACAACTGGTTTCCTGGCAACGCTTCCTACTGTATAATAAATGCAATGGTTTATTAGAATGTGTGAATTTATTTGTGTTTACATATGCATGGAGGATATAGAAATTAAATGATAAAACAGGGAGGAGAAATGTGCCTGCTGTTTAGTTCCCTTCACACTAACTGGGAAAGTCATTTTCTCTAGAAATAGAACTTTCCCATGTAGACCTGGGAGAGAAGGATAGATATGACTGTGTCTAATCCACTTCTACTCCACTGCTTCCCCTAAGAAATTTCTGCTCACTCACCTCAGATCCTCCTCACCTCTTCCCAATATGGGCCCTGCGCTTGCCTTTCCACATGGACTGTCCCCCCACTGTCAGACCCTCCCCTTCTACGTCCTATCCATCCCAGCTTCTCCCTGGAGTACTTTTCTAGTCTTCCCAGGCTTAGAACTCCTGTCAGACTCATTGTCAGCATCATTGTTTAGTTATATATTCAAGAAGTACTTACTGAACACCTATGTGGGCCAGGTACTAGATATTCAACAGTTAGCACGACAGACATAGCCTCTGTCTGCATAAAACCCACGTGGCGCACAGACCACTCAGCAAGCAATCGCAGAGCATGGTCAGTGCCAAGGTGGGTCAGCAGAGCACATACATAGGCATCCTAGCCAGTCACAGAGGAGCCAGAAATGGTTCCCAGAGGAAATGCCTTCCCAGTTATCTGGCACTGCACGTATCTCCAATTAGGGGAAGGGACTGTCTTGCACTTTGTTGTCGACTCACAGTACATGCCGTCCATTTCACGAGCTCTTACAGGCTGGAGACAAGCTCCTTGGAGACAAGCTTTGGGCCTCGGGGCTCTTGAGACCCAGGGAAGAGGGAGGGTGTGAGGAGAGGGCCGTGCTCCTGAGAGTTTGCTTGGCACATAATTTTTGACAGTCATCTCTAGAATATTAGACAACGTCAAAATGATGGACACTTCAGGCTCTTTCTAGTGGCTACAGAACTGAGAACAAGTAACACAGAAAATCATTAAATTTAATTATTTTATATCTAAGTAACTTAAAAATAGACTATTAGAGATGGGGGCAAATACGGGTGCCTTGTTGCTTATGAGACAGAAGAAGTAAAGGGAACATTGGAGGCACATTTCACTGAACATGGGGCAGATAGTCCTCCAAAATTCTAGAAACTCCATGGGACCCACTTCAGAACTCTAGAAAGTGGAGATCTGGAAGCTCCAACAGGTTATCTGATTAATCCATTCAAGTTGCATAAGACTTTCTGAATCATTTGTTCCATCACTGTTTAAATCCTCTTCTGAACAGGAAGCTCCAAATGTTGCAAAGTTCCTCATTGTAACTAATTCTAATATTGTAAGTCATTAATTTGCAGAATTTTTCCTAAAAGCTCTGCTCTAATATTTCTTTTAAATAAACTGTAACTTTGTATATTCAGTTTTGCAAATAGATTAGGCCAGTTTTTAAGCTCAACTTCCATTATTTGTCATTGCTAAACTGAGTAAATGATCAGGAATGCTTTGATTTTTTTAAAACTCAAATTTTAGAGATTTTTTTTTTGAGTAAAACAGGCTCTTCACTGTCTATAAGGTTACTTCTAAGTTGCAAAAGTTCGCTCTCCATTTCCCCCCTGTATTTCTTTGCTCTTCTATATTCTTCCATTCAGTCTTGGCTGCCACAATCCGACACCAGAAAGTGCAGACACATTTGTCTTGCATCTGTAGTGGAAACCTTAGTATACACATGTGTGAACAGCCTACCACTGGGCTGGCACTCAGCTATACTCTCTGGAACTAATACCTCTGGAGCATGCAGAACCTATTGAAGGCAACAGGCATGTGAGCCAATAACTGGTGTGTAGTATGGTAAGTGCTGTGATAGAGTTATGAGCAAAGCACTATGGGAATGGAGGGAGGCGGATAACTTCCCCTGGGGAGTTTGCAGACATTTTTGCAGTTTGTGACATTTGAGGCTCGTAACAAAAGTCTGAGTTCTCCAAATGAAGACATGGGGACACAGTGAATCAGGTAGAAGAGAGGCTCCAGGCAAAGGCCCTGATGTACGAGAGGACAGGGAACATTTCAGTAAATGCAAGTTCCATGGGTTGGAACAAAGGGTATGTGCAGGGGAGTGAGGAAGGTGAGACTGGAAAGGCAGAGGGGGCTGAAGACCATAGCCTCTGTGGAAAGTCCGGAGCCCAGCCGCGTGGTGATCCTGTGTGCTTCCCAAACCCTTACGCTCATATCTCACTGTGGCCCATGGACATGAAGCATCAGAGCAGCAGCAAACAACCACGTGGCAGTGATTTTAACTGGACTTCATCTTATAAGGGAGGGGGCACACTAGGCCTCACAGCCGCCTTGGGATGGTGCTGCCCAAAAGACTGATGGATAAAGATAATTCAACACGTATCAACCCCTGGATTATTTGCTTGCTATAACCCCCAAACCTCTTCTTTCTAGCATACAAAAGAGGGCAGTTCCCCCTTTGAAGAACACCCCTCCCTCTTCCACCCTCCTGGAAGGGCACTGGATAGAGCTGGCGGGCAGAGGGAAGGAAGAGCAGCATGTCCTGCACTTACCTGAACTTTGACTTGGAGATCCGGTGGCTGAAAGAGAAAAGGGGGACGTTAGCAGATGACACACGTTCCCTTCCATTTCAAAGGTGTTCAGCCATGCCAGGGAAGTCGATGTCCCCTGCTGACTATCTGTGGGCACCCGATGGATGTGTGGTGTGACTTAGAACAACTCTGAAGAGAGAACCTATTTGTCAGCATCTTCTGGTGTGCTTGTGTGTTTCAATGTGGAGACTGAGGCCTGTCCCACTGACAAGTCTATAAATCCAGTGTCTTTTGAGTGGAGCAGGAGAGCCCGGTGCTCTCTGATAACCAGCATCTACAATGAGGTTCCGTGAGGTCAGGTTAGGCAGCGTGTTAGGAAGCTGCACCTTGAGAAGTGCCATAGAGGACAGGGAGGCACCTTGGGAAGAGCCATACAGGACAGGGAGGCGCCTTGGGAAGAGCCGTACAGGACAGGGAGGCGCCTTGGGAAGGGCCATACAGGACAGGGAGGCACCTTGGGAAGGGCCGTACAGGACAGGGAGGCACCTTGGGAAGGGCCGTACAGGACAGGGAGGCACCTTGGGAAGGGCCGTACAGGACAGGGAGGCACCTTGGGAAGAGCCATAGAGGACAGGGAGGCACCTTGGGAAGGGCTGTACAGGACAGGGAGGCACCTTGGGAAGGGCCGTACAGGACAGGGAGGCATCTTGGGAAGGGCCGTACAGGACAGGGAGGCACCTTGGGAAGGGCCGTACAGGACAGGGAGGCGCCTTGGGAAGAGCCATAGAGGACAGGGAGGCACCTTGGGAAGGGCCGTACAGGACAGGGAGGCACCTTGGGAAGGGCTGTACAGGACAGGGAGGCGCCTTGGGAAGAGCCGTACAGGACAGGGAGGCGCCTTGGGAAGAGCCGTACAGGACAGGGAGCCGTACAGGTGGAGACCTGGAGGGTCTCACCAGCCAGAGGCCATGGCAGAAACACATCGGGGAGACCCCACTGCCCTCTGAACAGGAGCCTGGCCAACGCTGGCTATGAAGTGAAGATGAGCACAAGAGCCAGCTGGGCACTGAAAGGCACTACAGTCCTGGTGAGGGCAGCAACCTGGGCCTGAAGGAAGCCATGGGTCCTGAGGAGAAAGCCAGCATGCTGGCAGCCAGGTGGAGCCCGGAAGCCCTGGGGGACTCTGGGCAGGAGCACCGGGCAGGTGTGCTGCTGGCTGATTCGAAGGGTCACTGTATGGGGCGGGTCCATTGAAAGGTGAACCTTCAAGGAGGCCCTGAGACCACCTAGTTCACATAGGAGAGTCCAGGGGAGCTGGACGGAGGCAGGATGGGAGAAGAGAGAGGGAAGAAGAGAGGAAGGAAGGGAGATAAATATATGGAGAGAGAGAGAGAGAGAGAGAGAGAGAGGAAGCACTTCAGACAGAAACTTGAAGGCAATGGGTCAGAAAGGCTTGGTGTCAGGGAGTAAACACTGGAGAGCTTGCAGGTGGATGCACAGAGAGATACAAAATCCAAGTTAGAGGTGGCAAAAGGGATGGAGAGAACAGTAGAGACAAAGAGATGCCAAGAGAAAACAGGAGCAGGGACTTGAGAGGCGACTGCTGCAAGCCTGTGTCATCCAGCTCAGCACAAAGCAAGCTCTGTTGCATAGCAAGAAAACAACCCCTCTCATTGTTTTTTATTTAAAAAAATTAAACCAGAAGATGTGGCAGGTGGCAAAGCCATCGAGCATGAGATAATTATATCTCTGGGGCACTGAGAATCTGAGCCAAGTGCCTTTACTGCTCTGAACCGTTAGCTAATAACCTTTTCCCGCCTCCAAAGACTGCCTGCCAGGGCTGGAGGGTTTAATCACATGTTAACAAAGCGTGTGGGAGGGGGAGAGGGAGCCGGGCAGCATTTTATTTAGAGTCACAGTTTAATGGGGAAACAAATGTTTTCCAGGTGCTAATTGGGTGGCAGGGAGTCCAGGGTGCTCTGTTCTCCAGCAGGGCTGGGCTGAGCATGGCACCTTCGGGCAGTTCTCACTCTTGCAGAAGCCAATGCAGATGACCATGATCTCTGAGGCTTTGTCCATAGAGCTTGGCCAGCCCTCGGCCTTCTTTCTGAAACGTCTCCATGACCCTCTCTGCAGTGCCCGTCAGTGCAGACCACAGCCCCTTCCCCACAAGGCTCTCTCTTGCAGTCCAAGGGAGTCAGAAAATTGGGTTCTTAAATCCACCATATATGGAAACCGAAATCTGAATGTTCACATCTTCCAAGGAAGTGACTCTGGGAATTGGACACCGGGAAGGATTGGTGCTGGGTGACTTTGAAATGAGGGCCTGGCCTGAGTTTAGGCATGGTCATCAGCTATGGGTCCTCACATGGCATTCTGGCACATTCTGAGGAGGAGGAAAGGGAGCAGGACTTTCTTTTCCACTTAGTTGCTTGTTCTGATGTATAACCCTGGACCACACTTTGAGACTGATTTCTATGTTGTTGCTGTTTCAGGGATTGTGAGCTTAATTTCAGGCTTTCTGAGTCTGGAACATTCATCCCCTTCTAAGCACCATATTACTTAAGTGTTTGTACTTGGGAAGGAGAGAGTGCTGTTCAAGTGGCATGTGTCTGAGACCCAGGAAACCCAGCCCTTGGAGAGCTGAGGTTAGAAGTCTTGTAAAGCCCAAGTGCATTGATGCCTCCATTCTCCCTGACAGGTGTGAGAGGACAGTGGGACCCGCTCCACAAAAACAGAGGGACCCCATCGCTCTGCAGCCTTTCACCTCCTGGGAGGTAACCACCGGCTTAGGGTTTGGAAAGCTGCTCGCACTGGTCCCCTGTGTGAGTAAGCCAGGTGGGGAGTAGGTGGGTGCACCGCTCTATACCCTGGGCTGTTTCACGTGTGGCAAATGCTTCCTTCTAATGAACAGTAGAGCCTCCAGCTTCTCCAAACCCCAATAAGGCGCACACAGCTTGTTCATAAGCTTGATGGCTTTTTCTATCATTCTATTCTATTCTATTCTATTCTATTCTATTCTATTCTATTCTATTCTATTCTATTCTATTCTATTCTCCCATGCCATCCCATGCCACCCCATCCTATCCTAAAAACCCTATCTAGTGTTTTAAGTGGATTCTTAAAGAGCAGGGAGATGAGGAAAGTTAGAATTTAACACATAAGACCATCAGAACAGTTCCAATGGATTGGACCTGGGGTACATCTAATCCAAGATATTTTTCCTGCTTAGGCCTCCAAGACAAACCTTTTAGGAAACTATGATTTTCTTTGATATTGAAGTTCAAAACTAGAGAAAACCCCAAAACTCTTTTTGTTTTGCTTTGTTACTCAATTTGCATTTGTCATTATTTGACAAATATTTGAACTTCTTGGGAGCCATTTCTATTTTCAGCTTCTCTCCCCTTCTTAGAGTAATGAGCACCATATGTTTACTCCCTGTTGTGTGAAGTAGCATTTGCCAGAATTGTCCCAATTTGCCTTTAACATAAATCAGAGGGCACTGGAGTCACCATCCAGGCTGACACACATCTGACTGCCTCCTCATCTCTATCGCTGCAACACCTCCCATGGCTGTTAGTACTGGAGCTACTAGGTACTGAAGGCAGTTGCTCCCCACCCTGGCCAGAGTCTCCTTCTCTATTACCCCTCTTGCTCTTTCACTGAACCCACTTGGCCCTCACTCGATCTTCCCAACCACTCACTCTTCCAGGGCTCCCAGGCCAATGCACACGTCACCTCCAGTTCTCAGCTTGGCCCCATGGTCATGTCAGGGCTGCCCTCCACACCACACAGACTCCCCACTGCCTGGGCCTTCTTCTGGGTCTGCTTGGCAAACCCCACCCTGGTTCACACCACTGTCGTGTTTTTAGTGCTGCCCTCAGGCCAAAGAGCCTACCAACAACCATGTCACATAGTTCTGCAGGCCAATTGCACATTTACGATGTCAGTCTCCACTGTGGATTCGGATTCGCACTGCTCAGCAAGCTGTTTGCGATGTCCTGGTGACTCACTAGTTTGAATCTCCTGACCTGCAGGTCCCTAGGACACCTAACCCTCCTCTGGGAGGAGCTGACAGATCATTTGCTATGACTCCTATCATATCTTCAGCAGAGCCTGTTTCTGATACTATATTCTTTATAGAACTGTTGGCTTTGAGAGCTGGATCTATGGTCCACAAATATCAAGTTACAGGGTGTTTTATTCCAGAAATCTTACATGGAAGCCCAATATGTGAAAGAGGTGAAAGTGGTCTCCTGTCCCAGCCCTGCCGCGGTTCCTAGGACCCCTGGCCTCTGCTGAGAGCACCTGAGGTACCATCAGGCCAGCCCTTCCTTCCCTAGAGGAGGAGACCGAGAATCAGAGCAGAAGTGCCAGCTGAGGTCCAGGGCGGATCAGTGCTGGACTGCAGGCTCTTGACCAAAGGTCTCTTCTCCCATCTCCTGGTGAGTCCCAGAGGTGACGGAGCTCCTTCTTCCTGTGTGAATCCAGTGTCTCAAACTGTCTTTGAAGTCCACTCCCTCTTCTTAAGTAGTTCCTTCGTAGGCACTCCCATTTCCATCCCAGAGCCTTTAGCCCCTCCATTTTCATGGACTTCTTTTTTTGCCTTAAAGATCATCTCTTTACTATGATGAAACCAGCCCCCTCTTTCTAGGATCCTACTCTCCTCTCTCCTTTCCATGGCCCCACTGGTGGAGTCAGCTTCTTTGTGCTGGCTCATTTCCACCCCCTCTCCACTCTGAGACTCAGCTCCATCGCACAGAGCACAGAGTCCTCCACTCCTTTCATCCTTTCATCCCCACATGTGACTCTAGCCTGCACCTCCATCATCTCACCTGTGGTAACTGCCAGAGACCTTCGCACACATGTGCTGCTTCTCATTGGTCCACCCTAAACTTTTTTTTAAAGG